TTAGGGAACTTACTTCGTCGAACAGAATGCTAACAAGCAAGCGGAAGTCACGACCAGCAGCCAGACACACCTTCGTACTCCAGACATGAATGCAAATGATTTTTTTTCAACGCGTTTCTTTATCAACTAATTCATGTATTCTGTCTTCTGTCTTTCTTCGTCCGTGTATTTCTCCATTTCTCATTCAATTCGTATATCAATTTCTTTGTTAACTTTCTTTTAATTCATCCTTGTAACTCTCTTCATTTTCCCATTAAATCCCTCCATTTCTACATTCCCATTTCTGTCTTCAGTTACGGATCTATTCTTCGTTTTTAATTTCCCCATCTACTTCGTTCTCCATTTCCCAATCAATCCTTTTCCTCCTCGTGACCGTTACTTGAAAATCCGACGTCATTCTGAAGCGGGACCGTAATTTCAGGTTTTGATCGGTCTAACGGCCTTCTGTCTGAGGGCGACGCAATTAAAATAACATGAAAAAAAAAATACATTAACAAAAACAACATCACTAATAGCAACTGAGACAACAACACCGACAATGACATCACTCATAACATACGTGATAATAACAACAAAAGCAACAACCACATCGAGAAACTGCAATGACTACAGTAGCAACAACAGCAATAACAATAAAATGAACAACTGCAACAACAGCAAATACATGACACGCAACGGAAACAAACAAACAACAACAACGACGACGAGACAGAACAACGACGAACAATGCCATCAACATCAGTAACAACTAATGAGACACACACCCAGCAGAAACAACATCAACAACGTCATAAGAAAATAAACGAGAGAAACGACAACAACAACACGACAACTGAAACATCAACGACACTAGCAACAACAAAAAATAAAAAACAACAACAACGTAACACACACACAAAAAAACATACACAACATGAACAACAAAAACAACAACTGCAATCCCAACAACCAACATGACGTCAACATGGCACACGGAGAATTTAAATGCCCATAATATAATATGCTAATATTCTTCTTTTTGGCCTTCGTGTTGCGAAAAAAAAGAAAAACAATAACAACAAACAAACAAATACTTGCAGGGTGTGACCATAAGAGTTTAATAAGATAAATCGGAGAAAAAATATGCTTTATTCTTAAATGGGTTCTGTTTATACAAGTATTTGATTAACAGACACATACAAGCCGATACAAACACACACACACACACACACACACACACACACACACACACACACACACACACACACAACAACAACAACAACAACAACAAACAAGCACGCAAAAAATAATAAATACATAAAACAAAAATAAAATAAAACGAAATAATTCTTTAAAAACATCATCACCATTATTTCCATTTCCATTGTTTTCCTTCCCTCCGTTAAGCTTCCCTCGCCGCCGCTGAAACGCCGCCGCCCGCGTGCCATGTCGCAAACGCCCTTCGCGGCAGAGGGACCAGAGGGGTCAAGGTACCGGGGGGGGGGGGGCGTCAGGGGGTGTTAAGGGGGAGGGGGGGCGGGAGAATGGGTGTGTGGAAGGTAGGTAGGGGGGATGGGCGTATCATATATATATATATATATATATATATATATATATATATATATTAGACAGATATATATATATTAGATAGATAGATAGATACAGATCTGTCTCTGTCTCTCTCTCTCTCTCTCTTTCTCTTTCTCTTTCTCTCCCTCTTCCCCTCTCTCTCTTTATATATATATATATATATATTATATATATATATATATATATATATATATATATATATATATATATATATATACATATATATATACCCAACGTGAACCGACGGCGACTCGCTCCCACGCGCAAAAGGGCGGCTTCCCGCTGCTCCTCTGCCGCCCATACGCCCATAAAAGGGCAGCGGCCGCCCCATCTTCTTCTTCCTTTACTCCCTCTCCTTAAATTCCCTCCGCCCCCCCCCCTCCCCCTACTCCTCCTCATCCTCCGTTTTACTCCTCTTCCTACTTTCTTCTCTTCCTTCACCTATTTCCTTCTTCTTCTTCATCTCCTTCTTCTTCCTCCTTCCTCCTCCTCCTCCATCTGACGCAAACGTCCGTCCGTGCATACGCATACATAACGATACACAGGCGCACATGCCAATACAAAACCAGGAAGACACACACACACACACACACACACATACACACACACACACACACACACACGCCAGAATATACAAACACAATGCTATACACATAAATCCAAGACTATGTAAACACAATATGACAAACGCACACGCACACGCCCGCACGTACAGTAAATACAGACACAACGATGTACACACAAGCAAGCAGTTTCAAGCAAGAAACACCCCTAAACAAACGCAAGTAAATACACACACGGAAGTGCACCAATACACTTCTTTTAAACTTAAAACAATAAAATAATCCAATTGCAATCATGCATCACGCTCAGATA